AAACCTTTTTTTCCTTCATGACTTGAAGGTATTAAGTGAGGAATATGTCGTTCAACTAAATGTGTATAAAGTCAGGGGAACAGAAACACTCACTGAAGAATGATTAGAAGGAAGACTCTGTACTTAATCTCTTTTATTTTTTAAATAAATCAGAACTAATCCCGTCACAGAGTGTGGGAATAGCAGGCACCCACTCCAACTCATGTGCTCCCAGGGCTGACCTGCTCTTTGGGAAAAAATAATTAAGTCCTGGGCTGACTCGTCTGGCCTGTCACAAGACTATCTATCAGAAGCAAGCGAAGAGAATCAAACAGGGCTTTTTTCTCCATAGGAACCCAGTTCCTTCTCTTTGATTACTTTTTTTTCCTTTATACTTTTTTGTTTTTCTTTTCTTTTTTGGGGGGTACCGGGGATCAAACTCAGGATCTTGTGCTTTTGAGGCAGGGGGCAGCACCACTAAGCTAAATCCCCAGCCCTCCTTTACAGTTTTTAAATTGAGAATAAATTAAAATTATTAAAATACAGAATGAGTGGTTATCATGACAACTGAACATATGCTGCCAAATTTCATTACAAAGAATTCTGCCTTTAAGAACAAAGGCCATCTTCCTCAGAGTAGTTAGATGATTCCACATTTCTAAGCAAATAATATATACTTGAAGCGATTAACAGGCAACACAGGATTAACCTCTGACTGCGGTACTGAGGGTTGAACACAGGACCTCTGAACTGAGCTACCCAGTCCTTCTGAGTTTGAGACAGGGTTTTTTGCTACGTTGCTAAATTGCCCAGTCTGGGTTCACACTTGTATTCCTCCGTCTCAGCCTCCCAAAACGCTGGGTTTACAGGAAAGTACCACCATGGATGGCAGTATCTTTAATCATTATGGAATAAAAGTTGTTAAAAGCATCTCAGCTGAGGCTGTAAGTAAAAACAACTCAACACTAAGTGGGCCTTCTCAGGAAGTTGCATTTGCTTGTCCTTTTTCAGCAATCTCATTTTTCTCTTGGACTCAGCAAGACCAAGAGCTAGCAGCAAGGCCATCGTTCCATTTACTCCATGATGGATTTAGTAAAGTGCAAATAGTTTATATGAGGATCACCTAAATAAAAAACCTAGCCAGCCTCTTATCATTCCCCAAAGACACATATTTATGTTTCTGAACCAAGCACAGAAAATCACTTAGGGCTACGCGTGGTGGCGTACAGCTGTAGTCTCAGCACTCAGGACGATGAGCCAACCCCGCTACATAGTGAGTTCAAGGCCAGCCTGAGCTACATAGTGAGAGCTTGTCTCAAAAAACGAAAAAAGGACACATATGCTAATTTAACTTGTTTTTTAATACCACAATCAGACAGGATACATATAGTTTTCTCTTTGTAATTTATTTTGCATTTAATATTCAATATATTTTTCCTAGGTTAAGTTAAAGATAAAAATATATGATTCATAGATTCTACTGTTTTAAATTGTGGATTTCTACCAGTAAAGGTATATAATCACATATATGACTTGGTTTCTCTCTATAACACTGTTTTACTAGAAAGCAGGGATCAGCAAACAATGGCTCTTTGGCTAAATCTTGGCTATTTTTTATAATGACCCTGGGAGAACAGTTAATACATTTTTTTAAATGATTATGTTTTCATTGGTTATATAAGTACTTATAATAACAACCTCCATTTTGCCAGCAAAGTCTGAAATATTTATTATCTAGCCTTTTAGAAAAGAAGTCTGCTGATCTCTGCTATAGATAGTCCCACTTCTATTCACAGAGACTTGCTATAAAAGTTAATGAGACAAGCATTTAATGTTTTTTAAAAAAAATCTATATTAGTTGTTAAGGTCTTTATTTCTAAGACATTTGCTTCTCATGCTTAATCTCAGCCCAGAAGTGAAAACCTGGGCCCATCTTTACTTAACCAAACTATTAGAATATAAATATTTAAAAAAAAATCATAACTGCAATGCACGGAACTGTTTTGATATTTTAATTAAATGTATGCAGAAATGACTTCTGTATAAGCTATTAAAGTTTCATTTTAAAGATTAAATTTGGAAAAATTAAATTTGAGATAAAAAATTATGAGACACACTACATACAGAGTTCTTAATTAACTATTTATTTTATCATACTTACATTTGGGACCATTTCTCTACCTTTTGGCTTTAATGGCAGCAAGGAGAAACCTCTAAGACACTCACACTGCCATCCAGGCATCTCGTCCATGAGCAGCATGTTATCTTTACACACTAATGAGCACGTATGAGGGTTTTTAACAGCAGAGCTTCAGAACTTCCTGGATATGGAAATTCTCCAAAATCATATGCCTAATTACAAGTTGAGAATTCTTTTCATGTTCTTATAAGGCAAAATCTGTTCAAGCTTTCCCTTTAGGACAAAAGTCAACATACCCTCCAAATTTAGACATGACATAAACTGCCAGTTTATGGATGAACTGCTCTTAGAAAAGTGCAGAAATATTAAAAGTAGTTCTAATTAAATCAAGATAGTGCTAAGGAAGTTGGAACTACAAAGAAGTCAGAGAAAGATTTTTCATCCCCTATAAATTTATAGTAAAGAGTTAGGAAAGAATAATATAAATCTCAAAAGAAAACTGATGTAACTGTGAAATAATCACATTAACATAACCTCAGCATGTGTGCCATTTAATTTCTTCTTTAAATATCATTTTTAAAATTTCATGTTTTGCATGGCTTGTACATTCGTTTTCTTCAATAATTTATTCAGTTTCTTGAAGGCTATAAACAAAGTAATATAGAGTACCAACTAAAGCTAAATGTCCGAACTGAGTAGACATGATATTAAATGAGTTAATTTTTATGAAGGTAAGGAAGCAAATACGGACCTTGGGTAGTCTCAAATGTGGATCCAACCTGGAGAGAATGAGTTTAAGTTCAGCAATGCATGAACTTCATTCAGTAGGATCACTTCCAGGCTGCTGTCAAAAATTATCAGCCTCCCAAAGACTGCTAGGCTAGTTCAGCACCTGGGTTTCCTGGGTTGGGGAAGCCATCAGGCACTGACCTTGTGACGCACCCAAACTCCAGGAGAAACCCTACAACATGTAAATCATCTAGGTATTATCAACACGATAAGCAAGTCATGAAGTTCTATAGAAAGATATATGTTTTAAGATTCTCTAGGTCCACTCCCCACTAAAATCCTCCTTTTCTCACTGATGTTGCATTATCGTGCTTAAAAAGGAAAACTCCTCAGGACCAGAGTATGCAAAACCCTGCTTAGCACTTTAGCTTCCCAGCCATACAGCAAGCTTGACACAAAGTAAAATTAGCTTGAACAGAAGCTGCTGAGTTTTTGCAGGTCCAATTATCTGTTAAAATGTTAATTCTTAAACAAATGAACATAAAAAAATGATATGGTATACATTGTTAGATATTGGATACTTAAATTGTTTAAAATTATGAGCTTGTTGAGTTCTGCTATTTAAATACAGGAAGGAAAAAGCGCCAAAAACATATGCTTGCTTTTGTAAGTAGGAGGCCATAAATGTACTAATTTAATTATAGAATCTAGCTCTGCATCCAGAGTTTCGGAAATCAACAGTTTGATTTTCAAACTGTGCTGTCCTTGCTAAGCTTCTCTGCATACACTGATGGCAACGACATTCTAAAGGGACTCCCCTTTGGGATGGAAAGAAATGGAACTAAGTTCTAGCTGTCTAAAATCCATAGTAACAATGCTGAGGACTAAAGTGTGGTAGGAAGATGTCTGACTAATCCCTAAGTACAAATACTGGGAAAGATTACTTGTTTTATATTTAAAAACACTGCCATAGCAAAGTCAACACTTCCCAGATGTGACCCAAGAAGATGACTGTTCTTTCATAGTTAAGAAAAAGTGGTTGTATTGACTTGCAAACTGTCTTGTTCAGGATTCTGCTTGGCCTCATCCCTTCAAGGTGATTGTTTTCTAAGCAGTCACACTGACTAAACACAGTGGTTATAGTGTTTTCAATGGGAGCCAGGTATTATATCTGACTTGTAATTCTTACTAATTGTAGATAATCAGAGTCCCATTTTATACATAAAGAAGCTGAGCTTTTATGAGTCATTAAGCAATGGAAATGAGCAAGCATGGCTAGTTAGTAGTGAAAACCAGGATTCAAACCCAAGCCATATGCTCTCCACTATTACACAACACTGTCACTCTTCAAAGGTAAGTTAATCTTCTCATTACATTTTTTTCAGTTGACAGAAATGTCGGTTGAAATTTTATAACTGCAATGTCAACTGAATATTTTATAAATAGCAATATATTCAATACATAAATATGTGAATTGGTCCAAACAGAACCTCATTCCTGTGAACCAAGATTTTTAAAGATAAAAGTAGACTGTCATTAGTTATAGAAATAATTTTCTGATCACGGAATGCAAAAATATGTCCCTCATCACATAAGATGAAAAACGGAAAATATGAACACATTAGCTCAATTCTTTATTGCTGCTATATTTATTTGATATAATTTTTTATTTTCTAAATTGAGTCACTAAGTTTATTAGAAATCAGAAAAACATAATGTTCTTAACATGAGAACTACTACCACACAATCTTATCCAGAGCCAATAGGAAAATTTTTAAAAATTAACATTAAAACGAAACAAGACAGGTAAGGGCTAGACTATCTATAGGGCAATCTGTGAACTAAACGTAACTTTGATTGCACAAATAACCTGTGGACTGTTCTCAAAATTCCTTTCTCCTCATCTGTAAACTGAATATCAAGCCTCAGTGCCAGAGATAGAAAGCAAAGACTTTTTATTCCTGTCTTGATGCAGTTTTCTCAAAGAATGTGATATGTGAAATAATTTACAGTTTAAAATTTCCATGGGTTTGTAGGATTGGGACATCTCTAGAAAAAGCAACTGTCAAAAATAGAGAAACTTCTTTCATGATTTCAAACAAACCCTTGTGAAATACACTCTTTATAGTTTGTCACTTAAGAATGGACCTACCTGTCCCCAGGTCCTGCTCGGTACCTTGCCCCTGGGATCAGGACGGGGTCGTCATCACTGTCATCTGTGTCCTGAAGAGCAGAGTCCCTGGTGGATGACTCCTCCCGAGGGGAAGGCCCGATGGCTTCCATCTGGGACTGGGGCTCGGGATCAGTGGCACTCTCACTGCTCATCTGAGCGGAAGTCTCCGCTTCCTTGCCTCTTTCAGACAAAGTGGGCTCTGCCAGAACTCCACAAGGGCTATCCAGAGCGAGAGCACTCCTTTCTCCCGAGGTAGGATCTGATGGCTCAGGTGTGAGGTTATCTAATTGCGCTGTTGGAAAATAAAGCAGCACATAAGAACTGATCGCAAAGACAACAATCATCGGAGGAGAACAAGACAGCTCACCCATGTCTGTGCGATCCTGAACTTGGCTTTCTGAAGTTGCATCTTCCTGACCTTTTGTCACATCCTCTAATGATTCTTCAGGAGCTTCTGAAAACAACCAAAATATCACTAAATTCATTTTTTGGATAAAGAAATACCAACTTAATACTTCAACTTCTGTTTAGATAAATGGTTCTTAACTCTTTCTGCGTCATAGAAACCTCTGACATTCAGGTAAGACCCCATCTCAGGACACTGCGAATCCAACACCTACAGGTAAAAGGCACACAGAATTTACAGACACTGTGAAGGACAGGTGGGCCACTGCCCCTTCCTGAACTTTCGTGAACTAATTTGTGGATAATGTCCCTCACAGCTGACATCACTTGATTTTGCTTTTTTCCTAACATTCCCAAGATCTAAACTTCAAAAGTTGAGTATTCTTCTGCCCGTTTATCATGCATCTGGTACAATCTGGACTATCATGAACAAATGGGAAAAGCCTGTCCAATTCTGCTCCGGCCACTGACAATACTTAACTCTGGGGGTCTTTTGTCTTCCTAATTGGACATGTGCTTAACAGACAGTTATCACGAACATATTTAATTCCAAACTGTTACACTCAGGTACCCATTCATTTAATAAGAAACAGCATGCACCTGTTCATTTATCATTTACTAAACATATATGGTATCCCAGTCTCTGCTAGACACTACAATTTACATGACTAATGACCATGTAAAATATTGTACTAGAAAGTGTTCTGAAAAATCCCTTAAGTGACACTTCATATATGCAACAGAATCTTCTGTAATATGTTTAGATTTTACACCTTTTGCTTTTCCTCCATAAACCACTTTTCACTATGCTATATAACACGGCAAGATGGTTCCAATTCACATTTCCAACTCACAGTCCCATGAGCACCCATCCTGCTCATTGTGTCCACAGATGGGACGGACTATGTGCACTCCCCATCTTGACTGCTTAATGTCCCTACTGCTTTGTGTCTGATGTTTACCAATGTAATAGATGGGCCTCCATGACAAAAGTAAATTAAAATCAAGGAACAAACAAACAAAACCAGAAAAAGAGTTGCATATCCAACACTGGAATTTTATAAGGACAACAGCAAAATGACATCTTACTCGTCCCACTTTCTCCTTCCGGTGTTTGCACTGAACTCTGTGGGACCAAGGGTTCCTCCTGATCGTCTGATTTGCAATGGCTTCCATTTCCTCTAGAACTCGAGGCAGTACTGCTCCTATCAAGACAAGATAAGCGGTTCCACCAAGAAGTTACTGAATAGAATAATTTTAGAATAATTTGTGTATTTTATAACTGGAGAAGTATAATAGAAAATTCAGAACACAAAGTACAATGTTATTTTAAAAGTACTGCAAACGCCATTAACATATCAAAATGACTATTCTAGCACACACTTCGTCTAAAAAGATGTAAAGATACAAAGGACCACTTCTTCACTGTTGTGATGCTTCTTTTATCAAGTATGCATTTTTAGATGTGTCCACTGTGACTGTGTGGATGTGTGCTGGGGACAGAACACACGTCCTCAGTGCGCCAAGCAAGCTCTTTCCTCCTAAGCCACAGCCTCGACCTGGTCCGAGCTGCACTGGAGACAAACTACCTTCACTGTCTAATGTCGTATCTGTAGATGAGTCACAATACCCATGCCCTAATGCCTTTACAGACTTTGATTATCTGCCACATTAGGCTCTGCTGTTTAGATTATTTTTAACATTAATACTTTCAGGAAATCTGGCTATTTCTTTGATCTTCTGAACAGTTCACTGTGGATCACTTCCAGTTCTGGTTTGTTGTTCAAATATGGGCAGCTGATTGAGCATTATAGTTTTGTAGAAAGAAGTAACATTTTCCGTTTTAGTTTTACTACCTCTGCAATGATGACCACAGTTCCATCAGTATTTCTTTTCACAGCAGAACACTACGCCAATTCAAATAAAATTTCTAAAACATTTTTTGAGAGGGGATCTTGCTATGGAAGCCCAGGCTGGTCTTGAATGGGATAGTCCTGCCTCAGCCTTCAAATGCTAGAATTATAGGTGTGTATCACCACACCAAGCTTCCTAAATAATTTTCAGTGAGTATTCTGTGACAAACCATGGCCAATGTGTAAGGGGGAAGGGGAAAAAATATATAAATCTGACATTAAATTAACAGAAATGCATTAATACCTTAAATTTAGGATAAATGTTAGTAAGAGGAACTAGAGATAAAGAAACTTTAAAACATCAATTATAGACAAATAGCAGTGACTTAATGAACAACGCAAATTATCATGGATTTTTAAACACAATTTTACAAAAAAACTTTCAGAAAATTTGCACAGGTAAATATGATTTTTTAAAAAGCATACATGGTAGCATACAAACATTTTAAATAAGAATTTACACCTACATCGTCAGTACATTCTCATAGAATAATGTCAGGTGAGCTATGCAACAGGGTGAGGTGTCATCTCATTATGATTACCCTCAGTGAATTTTTTAGGAAGCAAATACAAAGCTATTCTGGTAAAGCGATACTAATGAGATGTACAAATCTCTTTCCTTGAGAAAGCTGTAACATAAATGCTTAACATATAGTTATGATAATTAAATTACTTTACTGATGTAAGGATAGGGAGCCATTAGTGGAAAAAACACACTATCCAAGTAAATCCATTTAGCATAATATGGCATTTTAAACCACAGAGAAATGTTAAAGGATTGCTTAATAAGTGGTACTTAGAGAAAGGAGCCATGTGGAAAATTCCACATCACAATTTATGAAAAAACATACTCCAAAAGTATTAAATACATAATTCTTAAGACTATAGAAAATGTGAGAGGAAAATAAGAAAATTTCTCCCTAATCCTAGAAAGGACAAGATTATTCTGAGATCACAGGCAGAAATCACAAAGCAAAATCACCATAGGGAAAATGAAAACCACCAGCCTGGGAAAAATATTTATAACAAATGTAAGACAAATGATACTATCCTCATTTAATTCTATAATAAATACATCACGTAAGTCAGTAAGAAAAAGATAAATACCACAGGAGAAAACTGGAAGTATTTGAAAGGTAATTTATAAAAGATGATCATTATAAGCTAACAATTATTTAAGGCATATCATGTGCCAGTCAATGTGCTCAGTGCTATAAACTTTTAAGAAACAGGTTCTACTAAACATGCCCATTTCCAGGCAAGAAAAATGAGACTGAGCCAGGCTTTGTGGCCTGTGCCTGCAGTCTTACCATTCAGGAAGCTGAGACTATAGGATCATGAGTTCAAGACCAGCCTGGTCAACATGGTGAGACCCCCTCCATCACAAAAAAAAAAAAAAAAAAAAAAAAAAAAAAGTGGGACATAAAAGAGGTTCCACCGCTTGTCCAGTTCTGACTCTAAGTTCACAATGTGTTCCATTCCCTCTCTCTGTCATCACAGAAACTAAAATAAGAGCAAGACTACATAATGGAATAGACTTTTAAAAAAGCATATTTTTGACAATAAAGATTGATTATATTCACAATCAGAAAAATGGTAATTACCTCTGACAAAGAAACAAGAAACGGATGAATGACAGACTATAACTCATGGTAAATTTTTAGAGAAGAAAAGGCAGCATTTATAAAGAAGCCTGAGACTAATGACTTCCTAAAAATGTTCCAGATTCTTTGTAAGAAGTCAGTCTGTTTTTTATAGACACATGAAAATAGAAAAGACATAAATGAGAAATGTGACAACCCTCTGTTAGATTATGTAGTGAGAAACAGGGCAGTGGGTGTCAGAATTTTAAAGTGTTAACGTCAAACGTGGGCTCATAAAGAAATTACACATATGTATCTAGAATGCAAGACACTCTTTATTACCTTCCTGCTCCCCTGCTGGTCTAAGCCATGGCCCTCTCAGTTTGCTTGCTGACATAACATTTTAACTGTCTTCTCACTTCTATCTACGCCACTCTCAACACAGGAGCTAAAAACAGTTCATCCTTTTACTTTTCTTCCGCGCTTCCCTGGCTGATCTTATCGCTCTGTCCCTCCTTCGGTCATTCCACAGCAGCTACAGTGGAATACAGGTGGTCTGCTTCTGCTCCAGAGACTTCGTACTGCGCTCTCGCTGCCTGGGAGTGCTTTCCCCACAGAAGCGAACAGCTCACTTCTCTTCCAGGTTTCGCCGAATGCCAGCTTCTCACTGAGGTCTTTTCCTATCATCCTCCCATGCTCCAGTTTCCTCCCCAGTACTCTTCATCCCAACATGCCACACAGCACACTTAGTTATTCTGTTGACTTGCCCATCTCTTCCGCCTGGGTTTTAAGCTCCAGCAGGGCAACGACTATTTTATTTTATTTTATTTTATTTATTTATTTTTTTTGTACCAGGGATTGGATTCGGGTCCTTGCGCTTGCAAGGCAGGCAGTGGAACCACTGAGCTAAATCCCCGGCCCTGGGCAAAGACTATTTTGTCTGTTTCTTCACTGTTGCATTTACAGCGTCTAAATTAGCTGTGTAACATAGACTTGAATTCTTAGTAACAGTCTGGCTATTCTTTTAAGATTATGGTATACAGTCTATTAAACTATTGTAATTCTCTAATTATTTTGTTATGAAATTTTGTTTTTTATAGTTTTTAAAATATTTTCTTTAATGTCTACATATATTATATAAAAGAAAAAAGTAACTGATATCTGAAATCCTACTTGAAATTTTTAATATAAAATACAAAAATATAAATACAAATGGAAACCAGTGAATTAAATAAAATTATCATGTATCACATAATTATATATTAATATAAACTATATTATTTATACATAATATATTTTATATTAACAATAGGTGATAATGTTAGTGTATATTAATATAGCTTTAATCACAAGTAATTGTTGGTTATAGAACAACTAATATAATTATATATATTAATACACATTACACAACACATCAATATATAATTATATATTAAATAATACTATATTGTCACACATGCCTGTAATCCCAGAACTCTGGGAGGCTGAGGCAGGAGGTTGACAAGTTTGAGCCTGGCCTGTACAATGTAGCAAGGCCCTGTCTCAAAATTAAAAATAAAGAAAGGGACAGAGATGTAACAGTGTGAAGGTCCTAGGTTCAAACTCCAGTACCACAAACAAAACAAACTATACAGTCAACATATTAGCTAAGAATACGTTAATAGGGCCAGGGATTTAGCTCAGGGGTTCTGGCACCTGCCTTACAAGTGCAAGGGCCTGAGTTCGATCCCTGGTACCAAAAAAAAAAAAAGGGTAAGTTAATAGTCTGCTATTCTTATACTCTTAGCAAATTTAAATAAAAAAGTTTTGATAATGTCTCAAGCAAAAGGCCACTATACAGTGAGAAAGAATGAAAGAAGCTTAACATCACTTGATAATTTAAAAAAACATTTACGACTCAACTCAATTAAAGAGCAATAAATATAATCAAATATCATCCAAGAATGTATACAACCATCATATAAATTAAAAAGTTCAACTTTACTTGTAATAAATAAAAATAATGAAATATATTGAACATTGGCCTGGAGATAGCAAAGTTATATGTTTGTATACTGCTGACATAAATGAAATGAGAAGGGCTTTCTGAAAACAATTTGGCAATATCACCTGATCTAGATACAATTCATTTCTAGAAATATAGCTCTACAGTCTTATTGGGTTAAAAAAAAAAAGGTAAATTCACTACCCAACTAAAGGAAAATAGTTAACTAAACTACAGCATTTGTACTTGATGACAGAAAAATAACAGTTAATCAGACTAAATAGTAACAGGAATATCTACTTTAAAGTTAAATCCAGCAAATGCAGAGAATAGAGAATATTCTGTATGACTAAAATTAAGCTCTAAAACTTATAACAAAAATCATACACACACACACACACACACATATTTGTCTAAAGAAACAAGATGGTAAACTTTGGCACTAAATGATCTGTAGATCATTATTATCTTTATATTTTGTATCAGAAGAAATATCTGAGGATGTACAGTATCGCCCACAGTTTTTAGAAATGCAAAATGCTCACACTCCACACCAAACCTGAGTACTATTCATTCTGTTTTTAGCAAACCCTACAAGTGATTTTGGAATACACTGCAATTTGAAAAACAATGCATTATATAAAAATATAAAAATGACAAAGTGCTAAAAACGCATATAAAGTACAATCCTACAAAATAGCTAAAACATCTTTAAGAAAATATTAACTTACCATTCGTCTGTAAAGTTCAGTTTTATTGTGCTTGTAGTTGTTCCTTCTGTGCTGTAGTGCAAACTTAAAACTGGTTCACCTGTCCCTGGTTTAGGGCTCAGCTTTTCATTATTGTTATCTGAAAATTGTGTTTAAAACATTTTAAAAAGTCTCTGAAACCAGTGAAAACATGACATTTCCTAAAATTTATAAAACATAAATTAGTTTGTCCTTGTCAAAGTTCTCTTTCTCATCTACTTTGCTTCTCATTTAAAGCTGGAAGTAGCACTGCACCAAATCTAGCTGTCTACACCATGACCTTAGATTCAGAGGAAAATCAAATGCACTGAGAACCATATTCAGTCACTAGGAAATCAAAGAATAGTACAAGGCCATAACATTAGCAAGGCCGTAATTATAAAATGGTACTTTCACTCAATGGAATGTGCAATTACTCTTCAGTTGCTAGAGCATCAAGAATAACTAACACTGACTCGTTCAGAAACACCAGGATATAAGACGCAAGGGCTTTGCAGGAAGCTGTGCAGCGGAAACTGTGCCGAAACCGAACGCCATTGATGCGTTTCGTTCTCTCAAAGCCACAGATTTATCTCTAGGGAGGGACTGTGGCCTGAAACCTAGAGAGAATTTACTGTGCTTTGCTATTTTTCTAAAACTTACAATACTGTATCATTTTGGTATACTTTGGCTTTTACTCTTGACCAATATCCCAAGGAATTTGTTTCCTAATTAGTGGAAGGTGATTGATTTCACTATAACAACTTACAGGGATGTAAGGATTTTAAAGGGCAAATAAAGTAAAATCTACAGAAAACGATACAGACTGTTCACAATACCTTCCCCACCACTAAAGCACATGGATATTTAAAGACAATATGAAACGGGGATTTAGAATTCTTTTCATTTTATGACAAGAGATTGAGGAAACATTAAAATACATAGGAAATACAAATGGATACATAGCCAAACATGTGATATTTCTGCTAGCTGTTTGCAGAAAGAAAACACTTCCTCTAACTATTTTCTTGACATTCATTCCAGGACTTATGTAACAGTACTAAAAATAAACATTTGTCTTGAAAAATAACAATGAAAGCAATTACAACTTAATAAAATCAAAGTTATTTGGGCTTTTTCCTTCCTTCTGGTGGTGCTAGGGTTGGAACGCAGGGCTTCGCACATGCTAGGCAAGTGCTTTCTGCTGAGCTACATACCCCAGCCCTACTCAGACTTTGAGTTCCACTTTACACTGAGGAACTCATACGGATCCTGCGTCATTCTTCCTGAAGACAGTGGAGCCCATGTTAAGAGAATCTCTCCGAGCCTCTCTGCTCTATGTTTTATCCCGTGAGAGAATAAATAATAGGATTTCAAATATGCATCTGGAGTACAAAGGAAAGTGTATTTGCCAAGAGCTGAGGGGTCAGGCTGATAAAACTCATAAGCACCAATTCTTATGTCTTGACATACAAACTGTTAGAAGTATTGTCCTACAAAATTAGTTCGGATTTGAAAAATAATAGTGTGGATTACAAAGCTGGGGGCTGGAAGCTGGGTGTGGTGTGCACACACCTATATTCTGAGCACTCTGTATTCTGAGGCAGGAGGACTGCATCGAGTCCGAGGCCAGCCTGGGCCACATTGTGAGACCCTATCTCAAAAAAAAAAAAAAAAGCTGGTGGGGGGCACCTACAGATGTAGCTCACAGTACTCCCCTAGCATGTGAGAAGCCCTAGGTTCACCAAAAAGAATTAATGACAATGCTGGCCTCCCAAATGGCAAAAATCACTTTGCTTCTGTACTATTTTAGTTACGACTATGTCCTTGACATAAACAGCTGCTAGAAATAAATGAGCAACCCATTCAAACTTAAAAAAGATTTGACATTTAGTGTTCTGAATAAGTTATTTCATCAAACAGCATTCTAGTGAAATGACTAAATTAACAGATCTTTCACTTAAAATTACCAAGAATGAGACTTTTAAAACATGTCCTAACTTTTGTCCATTTTCTTCACAAAATGTTTTCTATTCATTTGTCTTCACTTTTTAGTATGGTGGGACACTGCTGTTCCATCTCAGCTGAGGTTCGTGTCACTATGGTCTATCGGGGACAGGTGGCTAAAAATTGACCAGTCGAGGGCAATTCTTTTTTTTCCACAAAATTTTATAAAGTGTCTTACTATGTGTTTTTCCTCTAAGGTGAAGGAATGGAAAACAAAAGCAGTTGAGAAATTTAATTTCTTAGGCCTACTTTGGTTTTAGTTGCTTAGTTACCAGAAGCCTTTTAAGTAAATATTCTTTTTGAGGAAAGAGACAGTTATAGGCATTTACGTATATGCTATGGCTCTAGGAAGATAGAAAACAAAGAGCTACTAAAATATCAGAACATCAAACATTTTATTTAAACTTACATATTGTCCCTTTCTGCAGCAAGACGAATTGCAATTAAAATTTTCCCTAGGGTATTTACTACAGTTTTTAATCTCTCAGGAATGTGTGTATGTATTGTGAATCAGATAATCTATAGTGGTATCATAATATCATTATAATAGGTAGACTTTGTTAAGTTTTTAATAAAATCATCTGCCTGCATAAAACTGGCCTCCCCCATAAAAATGGGATGGACTCTTAATGGACAGCCCTGCATTAGCTGTTGAGTTTCTCTGGAGCACTGCTGTGCATGGGTTTTCCGTACAGAATATTTACAGTGGTGCCTTGGGTCATGAACTCAGTTCTCGCCATGATGCTGGTTACAAACCAAATTAGATGAGAACCGAATCAAATTTCCCATAAGGGCAACACTGAACCTAACCATTAATCTGTTTTGGTTCTTGTCCAACTCGGTTTATGACCACAACTGCAGAAAGCACCAAGTTCATGAACCAAGGTATCACTGTACCACATCAACCTCGTCTTTTTCCTATCTTTACTCTGTCCATTTTAATACATAACTTGACAAAGAATACAGAACAAAGAAAAGGCTAATGGCAAAAAAAAAACAAAAGCCCAGAATGGACTGGATTAGTTACAAAAACTCAGGCTCTGAGTCTGACCACCTCATGGCCTGCAGGTAAAGAAACTGCATCTCTAGTAGAAACACCACACAATGTAGAACTTGGTTTCTTTAACTGCAGTATCAATGAGAGAACACATCCAAAGTCTAGCATTTGTTTTCCAACTTTCTCCCATTCTCTCCCCAGTTCAATCTTTTGTGTGATCATAGACAGCCTATCAGGCTGACTTTTCTCAAGAATACAGAGTCCTGGGCTAATAATGAACATATTCATCATGTCTTTGCTAACATACATATTTTAAGCTATACATGTGTAAAAAAATCTACTTTAAAGATCTAAAAAATTAAATACATTAATTACAAATATTTGTAACTACTTAAATTCTAACTTGTTCTAATTAGAATTTGAATTGGCAAATATATTCTAACAACTGTTTTTTCAAAACCTTACATTAATACAGATATTACTGAAATATTTCACTAACAACTAGATTTATATTTGAAAATCACAGGGTTGAGAACTTCACCTAAACACACAGGAGACTTTATGTAGAAAGCACTAGTGTGATAACTGCAATTTACTGATACACACACACCCACATCTTTATTTTACAGATGACACTGATGGTAAGCTGGAGTTTTTCTCTAGTTATACAGGTTTCCTTTTATATGAAGTTCTTATTATTTTGTCTTGGAAATAATCTCAACACAAAGAAAACAGACGGCTTAACAACTATTTTAACTAAGAAAGATCAACTGTTGATGTGTTATTTCCCAGAAATAATGGAAAATTCACACAGTAACATTAATTTAACTAATTAAAGCTTTGCTAGCCCAAACTGTCACTCAGGTATCAGAGTACTGGAAAGCTGTGTATCTACTAGAGCACTTCTAGAGAAATGGCTCTCCTTCCTTTAGAAAGAGTAAGGGAAAGAGAAAAAGAAAAGAAAAAAAAGAGTAAGAGTAAAAAATTCATGTGTGGTAAAAAAAATCATTTGTGGTGTGCTCAGAAAAGGAGCAATGTAGTAGAGAAAAATAACTTTTAACCTGTTTTTAAAAAGCTAAGTTTTAGATGTCTATTCTATGTTACTTAGTAATTATAATTACTAAAGTCAATTGATTAGCAGCTTAGAGTGCTCTAGATTGAGGCAAATACCACTTATTTAAAGCACATGCTCCAGAGCACATTAGTAACCACATAATAATCAAGTCGAAACCCTGTAAAACCTTCATTTTGCAAGTCAGAAATGAAAAATCAGTTAATGCAAGATCCAAAAACTTAGAAAGATATTTTCCAGAAAATGATATTATAGAGCCTTTTCAGACTAGTGCACAGGCTCAGGAAAAAAATTTGGAAGCAACATCTTTGAGTGCACTACAAGGTGTGATCAGAAAATATGGTGAATGCTACCCTTACCACTTTGTGAGGAAGTTCTGGAAGTCCTCTTTTATCCCTGTAGTTGCACGGTCATGGGCTGCCTCAATGTCCTGACTTAATTTAAAACATTTACCTTGTACAATCATTTTGACTTTAGAAGACCCAGAAGTTATACAGTGGAGTCTGGGAATAAGGTGGATGAGATCACATAAGAATGTTTCTGCAAGCATACCTTTCTTTTGGAGGGACCTGCAGAACTTAACTTATTTCCAATCACACCTCACGAAGACCTTTAGCACAGAAGACTTTGAGAACTGCTTCAGAAAGTGGCGAGAATGTTAAGTGTGCTCAAAGGAAGGGGAAATTTTCTGAGGGGAATTAATGGCAATGTATCTTACACTGTAATAAATAAATATTTTTATTTCAACACCCACCATCTATTTAGATCCCATCTTATGCTTAGTTAGATATCTTCCAAGTCTTTCACATAAGAATCCATAAATTGGAGCCGGGCGTGGTGGTACACGTCTGTAATCGCGGCACTTGGGAGGCTGAGGCAGGAGGATCACTGTGAGTTTGAGACCAGCCTGGGCTACATAGTGAGTTCCAGGTCAGTCTTAACCACAGAGTGAGACCCTGTCTCAAAAAACAGAAAAAACAGAAAAAACAAAAAAATCCACAAATTGGGCCAGGGATTTAGCTCAGTGGTGCAGCTACCTGCCTCA